TCCCTGAAACTTCATTTTTTAAAGATGCACTAATTCTCAAGTCTTCAATCTTGCTATAATCCACTTCTGCAGTTAGTGGAGAGAATTCATCCTCCTCATGCTCTTGATGGTAAACAAAGGCATTTTGGTCTTTCTTTGTAGCTCTCCAGTTCTGGAAAAAATTTCTTGAAGAAGGTTCAGGGTGTCCAGCATCAGTGCACTTCTTTGAAGTTGCATCATTAGAGAAGAAGTAATTCTCATGTTGCAGGGGCACTGGATGGTGAAGATAAAACTGGGCCGACTTGAAAACAGAATGAGACTTTTTTACAGATTCCAAATGATTCATGGACTCTGGAACAGAAAGATAACTTTTATTTTCCCCCCCAATGATGGCTACCAGCTTCTTCAGAAATAAACGATCTCCTATAAATGGGGCAACTCTGATTCCAAAAAATTCCCAACTACAAATATGAGTCACTTCGCATACCACTGAAATACAGCCACCTCTGCGACAGAGTCTGAAATTTTTACCTCTCTTCTAAAGGACAATATCGCTAGCCTACAGTACCATGCTACTAACTTAAAAGAATGCCACTTATAAGTGATGCTACTTCCTGTATCACCCTGTGAATATCTTAGAAGTTTCACACACAAATACTGAATAAGTCTGACCCTCTTTACCTTGTAAAATTTGATCGGATTACTCAGCCCAAAAGTAGAATGGCTGCAAGTGAGTCCCACCAAAAGATGTGTAGAATAACTTATGTTTTCAAATCACTGCACACTATATTATAAATGAGATTATAATTATTTCATAGGCATGCACTGTATTCTAATAGGAACGTGCACTTCAATCAAAAAGAGTCAATGCTTGGAGGGGAAGACTCCAGACTTGTATTACAGAGCTTGCAAAGGATTAAACAGGGGATGGCTCAGCAAAGAAAGATACAGTAAAACTCCAGTGGTCCGGCATCTAATGGTCCAGCACTCCTGATGGTCCGGCACCAACTGGAACCCGGAAGTGCTCCGGGCAGCAGGACAATTGGAGCTGCTCTGCCCCGGCTTCTCCGATTCAGCCGCTGCTGAAACTGACCAGCAGCTGACTCAGGGAAGCCTAGGGCAGAGCAGTTGGGGTACTGCTGGGTTGGTCCCGTATTGCCGCCCCTCGGCGCTGCGGGACCAACCCGGCAGCACCCCAGCTGCTCTATTGCAGGCATCCCAGATTCAGCTGCTGCTGAAACTGACCAGCAGCGGCTGAATCAGTGACGCCTGGGGCAGAGCCCGGCTATCCTAAAGGGGGGGGATGCTGCCTCCGGAAAGCCCGGGGCAGAGCCTGCTGTGCCAGGGGCTTCCCAGAGTCAACCGCTGGTCAGTTTCAGCAACGGCTGACTTGGGGAAGTCTGGGGCAGAGCAGCTGGGGTGCTGCCAGGTTGGTCCCACAGCGCCAAGGGGCGCATCCCCCCCTCTCCACCCCAGACCACTCATAGCCCCCCTTCCTATAGTCCAGCATATTTGATAATCCGGCACCCCCTGGGTCCTAAAGGTGCCGGATTATCAGAAGTTTACTGTACCTCTTCGAGGTCAAAAAATGCAGGGTTACCTTGAACATTTCCAAAAGTCAACCTGAGTTAGACTTTGCAAAGGAAATTAAAATAAACAGTGCAAAAGGTTCTTGAGCCATATAAATAAAAAGAAGAAGAAAAAAGAAAAAGTAACGTGTAATGAGAATGGAAAAGAAATGAGAGATAATCTAGGTACGTTTTCCCAAAACTAAATGTTTATTTTGCCGGTTTTCAATAAGATGATAATGTAGAACATGTGGGCTAAGGCAAGATGGCTAATGGGAAGGATTGTGTAAAAACAGAAATCACTATATCTGAAGTGGAAACAAAACTCAAAAAGCTTAATGTACTCGGGTCTGGAGAAATGGGGGATGTGATGTTGTACCCTTGTATTTCTTTATGGAAATATGCCTTTGAATAGGAATATGCGTAACCCAAATATGCTTTACGCAAAATGTGGCATGTAACCTGTGATTGAAAAGCTTGTAATCCACTGAATGTATATATTCTATTTGTGTTCATGTATCATTCCTGTATTTGAAGTTAAAAATCTATATTTCTAGATGTGCTAATGAAGGCCATTAGTAATACTCGAGGAATTTAATGGCCTGGTACTCATGATAATAATCTGTGAATGCTCTTGCTTTTCCTATAAACCTGGACTATGATTGGTTCTGCCAAGACATGTGGTCATGTCACCTGATATTTGAACCCATTTTGGATGTGGTACTTTTCTGTGGGGGCGTGAAAGGATTGAAATTGAACACAAAGGATTCTCACCTATAGTATAATCCACTTATAAGCAGGAAACCAAACAATTGGGACATTTGCCGGACACCAAGACACTCCCTCCTTCCCACTCAGATGACTGTTGGAAATAGCTAAGACTGAACAGGGGGAAGGATCAGGCCCAAGCTAAGAGGATGCCTAGCTTGTGAGAAAACCTTCTGCACTGCTGACTATCAGAGTGACCAAAATCTGGCCACAAGAGCATAAGAAAGATGTGACAAAGGATGGTGTTACAAAAACTGACTGCTATGTCCTGTTCAAAGGTATAAGATATTCTGTTGTAATATCTCTTCCTAAATATGCCCTAGCACAAGGATGGGGAATCATTTTTGGTGGGGGGCCACACCAAGATTTTTGAAAGTGGTTGAAAGCCGCACACTTCCATGATATTAATGGAGGAAGTGGGAGGTCTGGGATGGAGGTTGAGTGCAGAGGGAGCCTTGAATAAGGGATTGGGGTGCAAGAAGGCGAGTGGGGTCTGGGAAGGAGTTTGGGTGAAGGAGGCAGTTGTGACCTGGGGCACTAGACTGGGGTGTAGGGATGTGGGTTGGAATTGGGGTGCCAGATCTGGAAGGGGATATGGGTGCAGGAGGGGGAAGAGGGTTTGGGTATGTGGAGTTGGGGGGGGCAGGAGTGGAGGGGCAGAGGGTGGGGGGAGGGAGGGACTAGGGTGCTAGAGGCAGGCCCTGTCTGGGATATTTATCTGGGTGACTCCTGGCCAGCAGCCCAGCACATTTGTCAGCCCGCCAGCATGTTCGCCTGCCCATCCCGGCAGGGGCCATGTGTGTTGGTGAAATGAAGCCTGAGGGGAGGGGGAATGGTGCATCACACAGTGGCCGTGTTTCAAACAGGCAGCTCCCATTGGCTAGAAACTGGCAAATAGGATTGTGCTGGGGGTGGGGGTAGCACATGGTGCATCTCTCCCACGGAGGGGAGGGCACCCAGTTGCTTCTTTTGCTACCTGTTATTAAAACAGGCAGCTCTTATTGGCCAGTTTCTGGAAAGAAACCAGCCAATGGGATTGTGCTGGGGGTGGGGGCAGCGCCTGAAGTCTTCCCCCCTCCACTCCAGGCTCACAGTTTTGAAAAAGAAATGGCTAGGCAGCTCTTTTCTGAGCAGTGTGCGGGTGGGACATGGCAAGCAGGGAGCCTGCCTGGGGCTCCCTGCTGCATCCATAGGCCAGGTCTGGTGGTTTGGCGGGTCGGATCTGGCCTGGGGGCTGTATTTGTCCCATACCTAATATAAGGGTATATTTTGTGTGTGGATGCTAATGAGAAGAAAACAACACATAAAAAACTGGGCACCCCAATATTCTTGGGGAGCATAATACAGATAAGAAAAATGAGTGCTGACACCTTCATGCATATGCAACCTGGATTAGGTGTACAGAGAATCATATGACAAGTGAGGGTGCCTGTAAAACCCGAGCAGGAACCATCTCTCTCATGATGATCAATTGGCAAAGCATGCATCAAACCCTAAGAATATCACTGAGGATGTAAGAACGACTATCATTATAATTATTACATAGCTCACCATGGGATTTCTATGTGCAAAGATGACTGTAACTTTACTTATTGCTTTGATAAAACTTGTAAAACAGACATGACCTTACAGGTGTGGTCACCATCCTTGGTCTTCATGTGTTCCTAGAGGCTCTAAATCTGAAGCAAGTAGCAGAGGTAACTTTCACTCTGTTGAGCTTGAAACTGTAGCAACCAGAGCTGAACCCATGAACATCACTAAATTCACTTTAAATAGATACAGAAAAAAGAAATGCTCATGGGCAACCTACTTACCTGTAGTAGCTTTCTGAGGTGTCTTTTTTTCATTTGCCCAGGCTACCTTAGGCTCAGCCCTCTTACTGTAGATGCCCTCTTTATGTTTAACAGCTACAATGTCTAGAGGATTCTCATCCATGGAACCAAGTATCTTTGCTGGAAAATTTGGAGGAATAGCATCATTTGAGCCTACAAAGAAAGCAAACAACATGGCAAGAGTTGTTTATCATAATGAATACGAGAATAAAGTGAAACAGCATGAAGAAAGCACCTTTAAACCAAGCCGCAACCTAGAGCTGAAGCAAATCACTGAAGACCAGCTAACACAAGGAGTTTAATTTACTGCCTGAGTAAAGAATTATTAGTTGTTCATTCAGCTAATGAACAACAGAGTTCTAGTGAAATAATACCAGCAACTTACCATTACATAATTTTTCGATAACACCTCTGATCTCAAGATCAAGATACTTCCCTCTGACGTAGACAAGTATTATACCCATTTTTCTACAGATAGGAGGCATGGGGAGATCAAGGTCACATACTCAGAAGACTAGACTACCCTTTGCTGATCTTCATATTCAATTTTAGCTATTTTCACTGATGGATGCAGACAGCCATTTTCTGGGATTTGACTAAGGAAGTGAGGAAGCACGTTGGCAAACGTATGAAACAGCAGTCAGAGGGATTTATTTAGTGGTAACGAATGTTTCTTAGTTATATAACTAGGACTGCATAGCCTCTAAACAACAGCTCAAGACAACAATATCTTTTTCCTGATCAGCTGTCACAGCACTATATTTTTGTGTCTCATGAGTTTGAAAGCCTAAAGGACAGTAAACTGATTTATATTCTGTAGCAACACTATGCAATTATGTTCAGTGGCCTTATTCAACTCAATTTCTCTCAGATATTTCTCATGAACGACGAATCCTAACTACAACAGGAAATTTAAAACCATATGTTTTAAAACACTGTGAATTTACACTGCTAGCATCATGGTTCCTGTAAAGCACACATCCTCTCTTGCCTCTATCTCTTCCTTACATTACAGCAGGCAGAATGGGCAAAGATTAGGAAGCATGTGGAAATGGATTTGGAAACCTAACCTTTGCTTTTGCTCCTATAATTTTTCAGATGAAAACTGTGTGGACAGTTATAGCTATTATTATTATCCAGTGTACCTGTGCATCAGGGAGTCAAGACAACATCTTTATAACATTAGCTGTCTACAAATAACTGTGGGTGCCAGAAGGAAGACCAGGTTAAAGGAAATCTGAAAAAAAATCAAGCCTAGAATGTCTGTTATGAGCAGCATATTCTGAACATAATCATATTTAGAGAGAAGTGGGGCACAATATGTGAGGAATCATCCTCTTTCTTCCACTCCCCTAGTGTTTTCAAAAACTGCAATTATAAATCACTTTTAAAAATCCACACATTTCTAAACTGAACTCACCTAACTTGGGGTTACCCTTAAAAACTCTACATATTACACTTTATTCTGATATATGTTCCTTAACACATGATATCCCATTACACTTCAGAATGCATCCATAAAAAATTCCTTTTCTCTTGAACCTGTTAAGAGGAGATTCAAAGCAGGAAATTACATCAGGATGGATAGGAGGATCGCTGGAGAAGTGACACAGGTCCAAAAGAAGAAGGAATTTGAAATGGAAAGAAGAGAACTAAAGGTAAATCTGTCAGGTTGTGTGAAACACACACTCATTTCTCCTTTCAGTACCAACAGACAAAGGTAATGAAGTCTCTGACTGGAAAAGTCTAGAGTACCTCTTTCAAATCCAGGATATTATATATTTATGTCACAAAGCTAGAAACATAAGAGGCATAAAAAATGTACTGGGACAAGATCCTACACAGTTACACAAAGTAAATCCAGAGTAAAAATAAGTGGAGTTACTCAAGATTTGCATGTTGTAACAGAGCTGAATTTAACTCATGGGGACATTCTGCAACTGGATTATGAATAGTTGACCCTAGTGATTACAGCAAGAGCTCAGAACTATGCATTCAAACTCAGGATAGAATCTGACTCAATTTTGTAAATATTTTGAGAAATATAAATACCTGAGTGAGAGCTCTCAATAGTGGTCTCTGACCTGACACGAGATATTTTGGGTCCTTTCATTGGATGGGGAACATAGTACATCTTGGAACTTCCAGAAGGCTTATAGGGCAACAATAGAGGCTGATCTGCAGGAATGGAGAGCAATGCAGTTAACAAAAATCAGTAACGCCTAATATGCTACTGAAGCAGAAGTCATAGATAAGAACTCAAAGAGATCCCGGAAGATATTCTGTAGAGAGTATATTCAGTTTGCTTTTCCCTAGAGAACATGCTCAATTAAAGAGAATGTTCAGAAAGAAGTCTAACTGTTGGAAAGTTGACCTGCTAATAGCGAGAAGGGGTGGCTTAATCATTTAACACATTCCTTAAAGATTAATAAAATGTGTGACTAGTCACAGCTGTAATAAATAAAAAAAAAATCTCATTTGCATACCAACACTGCCCACAGTGAACAACAGCTAATGAAATCATTTCTAATCGATTACAGAAACCTGCCTGTGCTTAGATCAGCAAACAACTTGCAATTACAGCACCACTCCACTGGAGGATTGTTTGTTGCAGGTGGCAAAAGAGCTAGCAGACTTAGTGCTTCTTAATAGTAAAGATAAACAATTGCTCAAGTAACTGAAAAGAGATCTTTGTATTGCCATTTAAACTGAGCTGGAGGTCTTCATACACAAGGGATCTGATCTCTTCTCACACCATATGCACACGACTGACTGAGGTTGCTTTACACACTCCTCAGAGAGAAATACAGAGTTTGGAACAGAGAAAATATTACAGAAACTGAAAGTCTACATACACCAGTAGTGTGCAGCACTGTTCACTGGTGCAGAGAGATACAATTTGCATCAAAGTGAGTTAATCTGCCATATGTGTTCTAATTTTATTGGGGTGTATATCATTGCTAACACATTCCCTTTCAGCAGCTGTATAAATTATTTTGCCCACAGAGTAATTTCAGGTTGGTTACCTGCCAACTCATAAGCCCCCTAATGATTTCTAATATGCATAATTTTAAATATCAATATTAAAAATAAGTGCATTAAAAACACTTTGTGTTTTCTCACAAAGTGCACAAGAAGCAAAACATTTGACTTGATAGAATGTGCGGAAGAGGAAAGATTATAGGTTCATGGAAGGCACTTTGAGCTTCTCACCAAGTGGCCTGAGGGAAGATGAAATGTGGTTCAGAGACGAAGTAGCTAGGTTGGGGATTTCACCCGCCTTCTGGTGAGAGGACCCAAAGGTACTGGCTTCACCATCTTCTGTACTAACATATATCTCTGCTGAAAATGTTGTCTTTTCAGGACTTTCTGTTGTTATCTGAGTTATGGCATCAGATGTTGCCTTTCCAGTTTGCGCAGAAACAGTGGACTTGAAATTCTCCTGCAAATTAAGTTCACATGAAGCCTGCCTTGAAAATGGCATCCTCAGGCTACTTTCCAGAGACATATATGTAGGATGCTGTGAAGATACTGATTTTGGGAAGTATAAAGAACCTTGATCATTTGGGATAGATTCAGCAGTTAATAGCTTAGAGGCAGATTCTAATAAAATCTGGGGGGGAGAGCTTAAAAGTATTTGTTGAGCGTCAGTCTTAAGACTGTCATTAGATCTTGCTTCAGCTTCGGTGTCCAATATACTGAATGATTCTGCATTATTACGTTTTGGAGAGAGTGTTATGCGTACACAAGACAGTGCTTTCCTGGTTGGAGATGAAGGCAATATAGGCACAGTGGTTAAAGTTTTATCTGGGGAGGAACAATTTTTCACATTGGCATATCTTGTCTCAACATTTGCCTGACTGACGGAGAACATATCAGAACAAAGTTTATCCTTTTCCAACAAATTACCATGGTCTTTAAGCAGAAGGGTTCGTAGGCTATGCACTGGATCTTCTGAGCTATCTGCA